CCCCCCCCCCTAAGCAATGTTGCTGTATGACATCATGTTTTCATTGAGAACGTATTGCGCTGTCTATTTACGATACAATACGACAACACAACATTGTTATGGGGCGCGGGGTTAAGAGGGTGCCAGATACCCTACTGCCTGAAGGCTATTGTAGAATAATGAATGGCATACCTATATCTAATGTTTCCAATGCGCGAACATCTGGTCTCAGTCGGGCATCGCTTGGAGGAAGCTGAAAAATACACGTTTCATGAGACAAAAATATTTTTTGCACAGAAAGCTTGCGTCGTCTACTCACCCTTTCAGCTTGATCTTCATGCAGCTCGTTCAATTGCATCGCAAACGACGTAAAGTTGTACATCTAAAAATATGAGAAACATTTTAGAAATGAGGTCGTGTTCCCCCCAGAAAGTCAAACTATAACGTTAACTTCACCTCCTTAAAGTTTCATGGCCGGGGGGTTCACTCTATATAGAAAATTGGAGTCATCCCCCCTTGAATGTCAGCCTATGCCTTTAACTTCGCCTCCATAGAGTTTGATAGTCGGGGGTTGACTTTCCACAGGAGAACTGAATTGTGCCCCCCCCTGAACATCAGCTTATCACATCAAGTTTACCTCTTTGGAGTTAGGTGGCCGGGGGTTGACTTTCCACAGGAGAACTCGACAGTCATCATATTCATCATCCGAGCTATCAGCGCTGGTGCTGGAAATACTCGGAGCTATGAGGGTGCTGCCTGTCGTTGAACCCATTGAAGCAGTCTTGTAATCGTGTTCTGGTTTTGATTTACGTTTTACTGGGTAACCGTACAGTTGATCTGTCCAATCACCTTGCAGAATGTATTCCTTCTCGCCTCTGGATAACGTAGATTTGAGAATATGTTAAGGCTAGTTTTTTACACTATCAAAGTTTCTGTGATCACAGTAGGAATTTTGCATTGGTAAATTCTAAATGTTGAATGATTTGTAAGAAATGTTTGAGGAAACTGTCTCAGTCTTTAACCAGGGTTCGTGAGAGTGAGAGTCAAATTCAAGGACTTTCCAAGGACATTCAGACTTTCAATGTATCATCAAATTCAAGCACTAAATACTGAAGAGAAGGGGTTAGAAATCAGTAAAATCTGACGTTGAAATGTTCAAAACGCAACTTTAATGAGTTTCAAACAGCTTTGTCAGATATGAACATGCAAAATAAATTCAACAAAATGGCCGTTTTTGAATGTCAAACAATTTCAGAAAATATCCAAAAACTAAAGCAAGAAAAATTCAATGACTTTCAAGTACTTCTTTACAAATTCCAAGACATTCAAGGCCTTGAATTTTTGTCTTCGAATTTCAAGGACATTCCAGTTTTGTACGAACCGTGTTTAACACCTAGTCAGTTCTCTGAAACATCTGTTACTGGACCTCTATTGAGAACAGTTCTAATAGAGCTGACAGAGCTGTCTGGTGTAAATAAACTACTTATTTCCATACTTCTTATTATAGATAGTGGCTTCAATTTTATTTGCCTCCCGGCCAAACCAGCCACAAGGTTTAAAGTTGACGACACATTTCACACCATGAGCATGGTTCATGATCTCCATTTGACCATACTGTAACACAGAGGACATACATTATTTGCTTCAAACTTTTACTTCAAAGTAAGGATGTGAGACAGTGGTTAGGGCATGTGTTTTTCGTCTCTGTGAACGAGGATTGATTTCCTGCAATATGTAGTTGTCGGATTATAATTTCACCTCAGTCCCATGTGAGAAGAGTGCTTCTAGTTTGACTCTACCGAACACAGCAGGTTCTCTCCTGGTACGCCGATTTTCAACTGTAGGAACACCGAGTAAGGTGAGTAAGAGATGGCTCTTTACTAGACCTCTAGGGAGAACATTACCGATACTTATCCTTTCAAACCCCCTTAGTTACCTGTTCAATCCACAATTGTCCAATAATGATGTTATGTACACATGCATTAATATTGCTCCAAGTGTAAGATTCTTGCAAACTTAAATATAAGACAAAATATACAAGTATATAAAATATATACACTCAGAGTAGCATGCGGATACTAGGAGGTACCGGGGCCCCCCCCCCAATAATTTCTGAAGGCTCTCGAATGACATCTGAATAACTGTGTAACAAAGCTGTAACCATAATATTTCAACCATAAAAGCATTCGTAGGCTATAACTGAATAACTGAAGCTTTATATTGCAAGAAATTTAAAGCAAAAAAAGTTGAAAGAACTAAGATTCCCAGCTACAAAAGTGGTCACATGTCAGCAACCAACCCCCCCCCCCAAAAAAAAATATTTCGCAAACTGTTCACCACTGATCTCAACTAATTCCACTGGAGTACATAGATCACAATCATTACATAAATGAATTTGGTGTTTCCACAAAACAAAACAATGTTTCACTTACTCTGTGAACTCCAAAGTGACGATTCCCTTGGGGACAATCTCAACACCTTTCCCCCAGAACCGTAGTTTCGGTTGAACTGAACAATGAAATTTATATCCTTTGCCTTCACAATGGAGAGCGCTGATTGGTGGATGATGACTAACCTATCACAATGAAAAATTTTGAAAATCTCATATACCATATACTGGTGTCTCTTATTTCATTCTATGCTTATATTACCAGAACTATGGTAGCTAGGCTTGTGAGTTATCTGAATGTTATTTGAATCGAATGACAGCGCGGATAAACATGTGTCTAGTTGATACAGCCACAACTTTACCTGCTCCGTAACAATCCTGTACCCGAGATCCTCCCTGGTGTAAAGTAAACAGAAAAATATTATTGCATTAACTAAATATTTTTTGCACAAAACCGTTCTTGTAGACACTTGTACTTGTAAAATTTTTACATGTACACATGTTCCCTTATTCCTATTTTCATTCAACATTTTATTCCTTCATTCTGCCTGGATTTCTTTCTTTCATCATTCCTTTCCCCATCCAATAATCCTTTCCTTGCTTTGATATTATCCTACCAGACAGTATCCATATCTCACCTCACAAGTTCATATGTTTCCCCCAGCAGTGGGTTGAATGGCTTGCCAACTCGATGTAAATTTGAAGCAGTGGCAGAAACTGCAAATGCTGCAACATACTAAAACAAAAAACACCCATACTTGTTTACCAGATCACTAGTATGGTGTCATTCGTGTGACGTTGGTCATCTCTGTGACCAAGGTTCCATTCCCGCAATATACAGTTGTCTGATTATAATTTCATCTCAGTCGTTATCCCAGTTTAATTTTGGGGGGAATCGGTGTCCTCTTGTTGTAACACTGGACCGACAAGAGATGACTTTTACTGGACCTCTAGGGAGAACAGTTTAGAACTGATAGAGCTGTCCAGTATAAACAAAGTTAGTTTAGTTTAGGTTTCCTCCTGTAGTAACACTGGGTCAAAAAGAGATGATTCTTACTGAACCTCTAGGAAGAACAGTTAAAAACTGATAGAGCTATCCAGTATAAATAAAGTTAGTTTAGTTTAGGTTTCCTCCTGTAGTAACACTGGATCAATAAGAGATGATCCTTACTGGACCTCTAGGGAGAAGAGTTTAGAACTGATAGAGCTATCCAGTATAAATAAAGTTAGTTTAGTTTAGGTTCCCTCCTGTAGTAACACTGGATCAATAAGAGATGATCCTTACTGGACCTCTAGGGAGAAGAGTGTAGAACTGATAGAACTATCCAGTATAAATAAAGTTAGCTGCCAAAACAAAACATCTCACCTGCATTCTAACAAGCGGGTCATCTTTCGTCTGTGCTGTTTGTAACATGTGACCATACTCCATGTACTCGCAGATACGTTGAAGAAATGTGATTGGTTCGTTGAATATAACTACATAGGAACATTTTTAAACATTATTTATCATACCTGATACCAAGACCTGTCAAGGATCTGACTTTTCAAATCAAAGATTGTGTTTAAAAAAACATCACACCAAGGACCTACCTGGCATTGTTATTCTGGACAGATCCTGCAATAAAATAAAATAGTTATACGAGCATTAGTTTTCATGTAACGGGAGGCTTTCACTAAGCAGTATCGTGCAGCAGATGATGGTCAACCTGCAGTTATCAGAGTAAGAAAATGTTCATTCTTTTCATTATACTAATTCAAGGAAGATATTGAAAAGATATTCAGTAAGTGACGTTACCTTTCCAATACAATGTTTCAACACTGCCCAAACACTGAAATCACGTGATAACATCGGTACTGGAAGACTGGTTCTAGAAAAAGAAATTGAAACTGTTAAACTCAAGCGTAGAGGCTCTGGCAGAAACAAGCGAATGACAAACTTACCTGTGCCTGCCTTCAGGCAACTCAAATAACGAATCATTCGCTTGAATCAACTCAGGCGATGCAGAGTCAGCTCGGCCGCTGTTCAAAGCATTTGCCTGATGTTCTGCGCCGTTGTTGCCATTGACAACAGGTCTGTGAATGTCATAATCTTCGTTTTCTTCCTGGTCGCTGGCAGACAAGAAATCAAGTTCCTCTTGAGGAGAGTAATATTCTTCTGCTTCACTCGTCTCCCAACTTGACATCTTGCCTGAGGACTGAAGAAAAATCAATCATTAACAATGTTGAACTAATCAATGCTTAACCAAACTATCTTTCTTTATACTGGATAGTTCTATCAGTTCTAAACTGTTCTTCCTAAAGATCCAGTAAGGATCATCCCTTATTGATCCAGTGTTACTACAGGAGGAAACCTAAACTAAACTAACTTTATTTATACTGGATAGTTCTATCAGTTCTAAACTGTTCTTCCTTGAGATCCAGTAAGGATCATCTCTTATTGATCCAGTGTTACTACAGGAGGAAACCTAAACTAAACTAACTTTATTTATACTGGATAGCTCTATCAGTTCTAAACTGTTCTTCCTAGAGATCCAGTAAGGATCATCTCTTATTGATCCAGTGATACTACAGGAGGAAACCTAAACTAAACTAAACTAACTTTATTTATACTGGATAGCTCTATCAGTTCTAAACTGTTCTTCCTAGAGGTCCAGTAAGGATCATCTCTTATTGATCCAGTGTTATTACAGGAGGAAACCTAAACTAAACTAACTTTATTTATACTGGATAGCTCTATCAGATCTAAACCGTTCTCCCTAGAGGCCCAGTGAGGATCATCTCTTATTGTTCAAGTGTTACTACAGGAGGAAACCTAAACTAAACTAAACTTACATGCGAAAGTCGTGAAATCTAAAGTTCTTCAATATCTCGTACCTCAGGGAAGTGTGCAAGCGATGTCGACAGTACATGATGTTCAGCGGCTAATACATGAAGCGCATCCTCCAACACTCGACGTCGTTCTGCCTCGTCATCAAGCTGCAACCTGCGCGCCTACAAGACATAAAGCTGTTTTGTGAAAATCTCCCCACCTGAAAAAACTCCTTCGTTGAAAACGTAATAGAGAATTTGGCAAATACAAGGGCAACGGCAATATGATCATCAACAATAGCATTAATCCTCAAAGACAAAGACGAACGTAAATTACGTGGTCTTAAGCGTTGTGCAATGCCGTAGTTGTTGAAACGGTTAACAGTTAATTCGTTCGATGTAATTTGAGGTGTTTTATTTGAATTCGCGGACTATTTTTCCTTTAGGGTACGTTTTACCCCAGGCCTTAAAATATCTTTTCCAGGGCCGTCTGACAAAATGTCCGGTGACGTTGAGATTGGGTCGGACATATGTCCGATGACCTTCAGTTCATTTTTGACTCGGAAATAAGTCTGAATGACACAAATGAATAAACGGTAAATGTTGTAAAGATATTAAATAATTTGTTTCTTTGATACATACTTGCCAGAACAGCAGTATCCTGAAAAAGACTTCGACAACTTAAGCCCGTTTTCCACTTCACCATTTCGCTGGCCGCCCCGCGCTAGACTACGTTAAAACAACATTTCCAGTTGACCTTTTATACAATAGTACTCTGATTTTCCATTTAACATACAAGCCTGCCTCTAGTCATGGCCTCCTGTGCGGGGGTACATTTTGATTTACGTCGGACAAAGCTACAGTTCGGTCGGACACCAATTCACTCGGGTCGGACAAACAATAAACCTCAGTTTCACTTAGGTCGGACAGAATGTCCGGTGGTTTCTTTTCTACGTCGGACAATTTCACGAATGGGTCGGACAATGTCCGTGACCGACCGATATTTTAAGGCCTGCGTTTGAAAGAAACAGGAATACTTAAAGAGGCAAATTAAGTGTAGTAACGTATACTTTGGTTCAAATACAACAATATAAGCAATTATATAATTTCCCCGTTGCCGTTCTACGTTGCCAAACTCTCTAATAACTACCACGTGGGTGTAGCTACACAGATGGTCAAACTGTAGTTATCACATCTGCTACCATGTGACGCTTTCTGACGAAAGAATGCGTAACCCACCTCTTCCTGCTGCGAGACGAGACTCAAACAATGATTAAGAGAGCCGTACATTTCCTTTGCGGACGCCAAGACTTGGGTTAACTTCTCTTTAATACTGAGAAACGTGTCTAACAATACGCAGAAAAATATAGAAATAATTACAAAACTTTTTAAAGCCCTGGCCAAGCCAGGAAACATTTGAAAACTTCCTCCAAAGTTTCCCTCCCCTTTGCGGCGACATATTTTGCCTTCCTTGCAGGAACTTACTTTTGGACCGTTTCAAGTCTTCGCTTAGTCCATTTAATAATTCTTCAACAAGTGAGACTTGTTTCTTTAAAATGTTCTGATGCGCTTGAGCGCCCTAAAGAGAAAAGACAGAGTAGTGTTTTAAGCCGTCACGGGTTGTGTTTGAACTACGACTTTCCCAGTGAGAGCGTTTCCAATGAAACCCTTTAGAAGGTGGATAGCCACCAACACGCAGTTTGTCACTTGCCTTCAGAGCATTCTCCATGGTTTCCACAGGTAGGATATTGTCTTCTAATTCGTCGTCAATGAGAACCGAGGGTTGATTGATAAAATACGTACTGTATGCTTGATGCTCATGCAGAGAGTTGAGCCAACACTAGGAAGAAAAAAATATTTGTTTTAACTTTATTTATACTTGATAGCTCTATCAGTTCTAAACCGTTCTTCCTAGAGATCCAGTAAGAATCATCTCTTATTGATCCAGTGTTACTACAGGAGGAAACCTAAACTAAACTAACTTTATTTATACTGGATAGCTCTGCCAGTTCTAAACTGTTCTTCCTAGAGGTCCAGTAAGGATCATCTCTTATTGATCCAGTGTTACTACAGAAGGAAACCTAAACTAAACTAAACTAAACTAAACTAAACTAAACTAAACTAACTTTATTTATACTGGATACCTCTATCAGTTCTAAACTGTTCTTCCTAGAGGTCTAGTAAGGATCATCTCTTATTGATCCAGTGTTACTACAGGAGGAAACCTAAACTAAACTAACTTTATTTATACTGGATAGCTCTATCAGTATAAATAAAATTAATTTAGTTTAGGTGTTGGTAGGGTCAAAGCACTTTTCTCACATGTGACTGAAGTGAAATTGTAATCAAATAACTGAATATTACAGGACCCCATCTCACCTGTCTGGATACGGTATTTAAACCCGATTTAACGCTCCAAAGCAGGATAGAATTGTCAGAGAACTGCATCTTGATTTTATGCTCGTCTTTCTTCGATACCTGAAAAATTATTGCTGTTACGAGGTGATAATCTTAAAATGAAAGCTAATTCTGATCTACCCGAAGATTAAAAATAAAACGTACAGCAAATACAGAATTCTCTAGATGTCTCAGTCCTTGACGTTTTGTACCACTGACAGAATCCACCCTAAAAATAACACAAACAAAACACGTTTTACCAAATTACGATCACATTAACTGCATATTGCAGGAAAAGAAGCCTGGTGATAGTTCTTGAAATGACTACCTCTTGGAAAACCATGATATATGACCATTATCAAGAACAACCCAGTATTTCTTCCAGCCGAAAAAACGCGATTTCTTTAACAGGTATCCTTCAAACTTGGGCGCAACTTTTTGCCAAGCCTGGAGTTAAATATAGCACAAAACAAAATTACCAACTGGGGGACACGAAAGTATCATATGCATTGAAAGTTCAACGTTCTGATTACTAAACAAGATTTGGTGGTAATTACCTTAAAGGATTTTGTTGATTTGCGGAAAGAATTACTTCGAGAAATCTGTAAGATAAAATATGTACATTACAAATGGTGTACAAATGCTGCAAAGGCTAAACATAGTGTTGCATGCTAAGTTTACACTACACAACTTTTGTATAAAACAGGCGCATGCAAGTATGCAACCTGCTTTTGAACTGAGTAAATCAAGCACACAACTCATCTACAACAACGTAGTTGAGTTGTGTGTTTGATTTACACAGTGCAGCTCAAGTTGTAAGCAGGTTGCATGTGACAGTTTTAGGCAAAAGTTGTGTAGTGTAAATTTGGCTTTCACAATATTTACAAACCTGCGAAGGTTGGACATCCAGTAGTTTCTTCATTTTTAAATCATCCGTTAAGTGCAATACTGTCTGACCTGGAACAACATTGGAAATATAAAGTAAACAGACGATTGTCTAAGACATTTGTCTTCTTTATCAGCAAATTAAAACAACAACATACCATTGTTATTCTTGTACGCTGGATTCGCACCATTCTGTAGTAACATGATTGCCACTTCCTTCTTTCCTCTACGCAAGAGAAGAAAAATTTGTTCTCACACGTGGAAAGACAACGCGACTACTGTAATTCAGGGGCTGGTTGTAGGAAGGCAGGATAATGAGCTATCCACCGAATAATGAATTTTTCAACGGTTGTAAAAATCCTTATAAAGCTATAAAATTACGGATGCGGACCTCACAAATTATAAACAGAAACTTTAATTTACAAATACTAAAGTTTAATCTGGGTTATACCAATCAACAGACAGTTTCAGACAGCTTATACCAATTTTGAGAGTTTAAAATATAAACAGTTTTCAAAATATCACTATCCAGCCTTTGTACACAGGCCCAGGTTTTTATCAACTGTTATACCTATATGCTGCCAAATGTAGTGCTGTATTCCCCTGGTCATCTGTACAGTTGATATCTGGTGGGTGGTCTCCAAAGAGCTAGAAAAGAAAAGAATCTTGTTTAGACATTTCTTGGTGGGTCAAAGTTGACAAATGTTGCAACCTCCACCTACCAGACTCTTCAGTAGCTTGGTATTTCCTTCTCGAGCTGCAGTAAAGAATCGTCTTTGGATTTTATCTTGTTCTTCCCTTTCTGCTTCTGTAGGAAACAAAAGTTTTCCAACCTCCATATCTGTTCAGTCAGCTTGTTTGTTTAGTCTGTCTGTCTGTTTGCTTGGGCAGTCTGTGTCTGTCTGTTCAGCCAGGCTGTCTGTACAATCAATTGTGTCTGTCTGTTCAAATCTATTGCGTCTGTTTGTCTGTTCAATCTATTGTGTCTATCTGTTCAGATTGTCTGTCCAATCTATTGTGTCAATCTGTCTGTTTGTCTGTACAATATATTGGGTCTGTTTGTTTGTCTGTTCAATCTATTGCGTCTATCTGTTCAGTTTGTCTGTCCACGGTCTGTCCAATCTATTGTGTCAATCTGTCTGACAATATATTGGGTCTGTCTGTTTGTCTGTACAATCTATTGGGTCAATCTGTCTGTTTGTCTGTACAATATATTGGGTCTGTCTGTTTGTCTGTACAATATATTGTGTTTGTCTGTCTGTTCACTCTGTCTGTTTGTCTGTTCAATATATTGTGTCAATCTGTCTGTTTGTCTGTACAATCTATTGGGTCTGTCTGTTTGTCTGTTCAATCTATTGTGTCAATCTGTCTGTTTGTCTGTCCAATCTATTTTGTCTGTCTGTTCACTCTGTCTGTTTGTCTGTACAATATATTGTGTTAATCTGTCTGTTTGTCTGTACAATCTATTGGGTCTGTCTGTTTGTCTGTTCAATCTATTGGGTCAATCTGTCTGTACAATCTATTATGTCTGTCTGTTCACTCTGTCTATTTGTCTGTACAATCTATTGGGTCTATACATTCTGTCTGCTTGTCTGTACAATCTAGTCTGGCTGTTCACTTGGACTGTTTGTCTGTACAATCTAGTCTGGCTGTTCACTTGGACTGTTTGTCTGTACAATCTATTGTATCTTTCTGTACAATCTATTGTCTGTCTGTCTGTCTGTCTGTCTGTCTGTCTGTCTGTCTGTCTGTCTGTCTGTCTGTCTGTCTGTCTGTCTGTCTGTCTGTCTGTCTGTCTGTCCAGTCAGCCTGTCTGTTCACTCTGTTCTTTTGTCTGTGTCTGTTTGTGATGTACCTTGCAACAGAGTTTTCACCGCATCATTCTTGGCCAAATGTGAGGCCGTCTTTTCTTCACTGTTTACGATCAGGGGATTGGCGCCATTTTCAAGCAGAGTTGTCACAAAATCCTATCCAAAATCACAAGTTTACAGCACTTTACAAAACAACAATAATTACATTGAAAGCAACTGTTCAAAATGACAGAAAGAATCCAAACCTCTTTCCCAATCATGGCTGCTTTATGTAAAGCTGTGTCACCACCATCACTTTTCATATTTACATCTGCTCCCGCCTACACAGTCAACACAACACAACATTAAACACGTAAAAATCTCACAAGCTTGTCAACAACTTGTAACAATGCTGTTATTGTAGTTGCTACAAGGTGTGGACAACCCCTATTCGAAAACGTACTGTTATTAATGCCTCCATAATTTCATGATGTTCATGGTGTACAGCCATGTGAAGAGCTGTCCATCCAAATGACGACTTTGTCTTCCCTGTCACAAAACAACGTGAATTGAGAATCAGTTCAATCAGGTTAAAAAAATGGGCAAAAATCAAATTAAAATTTTATTCTGTTAGCTAATCTCACCTTTATAATTGACATTAAGTTCACTTGAAGAAGGCTCTTTAGCATTGATTATGTCCTTAAAATATAAACCCATATAAGCTTCAGCAAAGAAATGATACTGCATGGATACCAGTATAGGTTGTCTGATCATATGTATATAATGTCTATGTGTATAATGTGGCATTAGATGAACTGAACCCCAGATGAAACAAAAATGCATGAGAGTTTGCAGTCACACGATTAGCTGTTCTTAATGCTTTCCCAACACTATCATGGATTCTATTGAAGTTAAAACCTAGTTGGAATACTCATTAAACCTTTATTTTGCTAATCTAGAGCTTGAAATGTCTCCTGTAACAATGCGCGACTGTCAACTCTCATCAACTACTCAACATCCTTGTTAGACTTGCTTCAAGTCTCTCTTTCATTGTCATATAGTATTGATCCACTATAGCGTACATTACATGACGTAGCACGGAGAGGCGGAGCGAGAAAGAGAGACTTGTCAACTTCGGAAAATCTCGGTTCAAAACTGAAGCGAAAATGCAAGACTCGCTTTAATCGTTTTCTGTCAGTGTTTATATGTATTGATCTAGCACAGTGTAAATAACATGAGTTCCATTATAGTAAATAATACAGAAAGAAATTGAAGGAAAATTAAGAATTAAAGCAAGTCTTGCCTTTTTGGTTCAGTTTTGAACCGAGATTTTCCGAATTGACAAGTCTCTCTTTCTCGCTCCGCCCCTCCGTACTACGTCATGTAATGTACACTATAGTGGATCGATACTATATGACAATGAAAGACTGAAAGAGAGACTTGGAGCAAGTCTACATCCTTGTTTGACCGAGGCTTAACAAGTACATATTAGGTTTGGTTCAGACACAAAACCATTGTCAGTAAATAAAGCAGTATTCTAGCTAGTTCATCTGCATATAGCTTGTCATGTGTTGACACAAAGACAGATGATGGATCAGCCATCAAAACAGGACAGTTGATCCTAAAAAAATCACTAAAAACACCAATATTGGCACTGATCCAATCAGATTCAATTGATGCATTGAAGCGATAAATAGCTTTTTTCAATGGACGGAAAAGTTGCTAGGTATTAATAAACTATAGTGCACTACTATATACAGTAATATGCCCAATTTATAGTAGAGATTGATAGCTTAGCAAATTAATCATTGGGTTCATAATCTATAGTCAACTTTATGCACATATCAACGGCCTGCCCTGGGGGTACACCCCCGGGACTTTGAAAAAACATGATTCTAATGCATTAATTACCCCTCCCTCCCCCGGGAAATGTGTAAGTCAAACTGCCCTTCCCCCTGGGGCTTAGAATAAAGTAGTTCATAATATAAATAGCATACAAACAATTAAAAATTCAGGGTGTTAGCTAGCCAATATACTGTCCGTTTGACGGACTCTTCCCAATTGAAGTAGTTAAGGGGCTTTCCCAACTGGGTCTACTGGAAGATTTTCATTTTTTCTGATGATAAAGTGCATTGCATTTGATTTTATATTATTATATCAAACAACGTTTTATTTACTTTCCATTAACTATTTTCTCAAAATGTATCGCGTTTCATTCATATTGGGTGTGTATTCACTGAAATGAAATGTACAAAACAAAGTCCCATCGGTGTGCATCCGTGTTCATTCACCGGAAATGAAATAGAAGAAAAAAACTGTCTGAAAAAAAAACACTATTTATTCCTACACAAGGACTTTGATCAGTCAAAAAATTTTTTCCCCAATTTACGTTGAACGGACAAAACTTTTTTTCTGGCTAACACCTTGAAAATAACATGGGGTATCACAATGGCACTCATGTATTCTGTATTTATTTATTCAAATTTTAGCAAGACCACTACAAAATATCATAAATAATAAGTTGGCGATCGATATTTTTCTCCGTGAGCCTGCGATTTTGAGTTCGCACCAATTGTTCACTACATTTATAAAATTCAAATTGTCACGTCAAAGTCCCCTACTTCCCCTCCCCCCGTCGTCCTATTATTGCAAAGTTTGTAATTTCCCCGGGGTTCACGGGCAGAATACACGGATAAAACACCAAATTCACCCTCGTTTCCCCCCGGTTGTCCCGGGGGTGTACCCCCCGGGCAGGCCGTTGATATGTGCATTACACACATTTTGACCTATTGACATGCTGTGCAAGTCTCAAATTACTTCCTAGAAAACAAACCAAAACAGCGTTATCTATTTAAACGCCTTGATCCTTGCAATTATTGCTTAAACTGACATCCAAGGAAAGAGAAGAACCAATAGTCAACAATTTTGAGAAATTAAGAATGAACCTATGTCAATTTTTAATAACAAAGTTTGTTTTTCATTTTCGTTTTTCTAGCGAATTTCTAGTATTTTAAAGGGATAAATTCAGAATGTTCATTAAAGTTGTTCTAAAAATATTATCTTTGCAAGTAAAGGAGAGCTCCCTTTGTCTCAAGTTGGAAAAACCTAAATATTTTCTCTGTAACAGAGCGATTCTGTTTACATTTTACATGTAAATAAAGCTTTTAATCACTTGAACGTCTTGTTGACAAGTTGTATTTTTGCGACTATTTATGGCAATATTTTCATGCAAATTGATATTTCTTGGTACACTAAAATGCAAGAGGCATTCCCTGAGGGTTTGAAAACCTAAAAGACACCAGAACATACCCAGTTTTTATTAGAAAATATAATAATTTACACAAAAGGCAATTAAAGCGCCAGACAGACAAAATATAAAAGGAAAATATGCTGTCTACAAATTTCTATAAAAGTCTTTGCTGTCTTGACCTTAAAACTTCGTTTCGTGCTCAAGTTCGTCACAAAATGTACACATTTCTATGAAACTATCACAACTAAAGCCTTTTCCTTTTGTAGCTCTTTATAGAATTCACCTTGAATGGGCGATTTCTTCAAGTAATTAGTTGTGGCGATGAATATATTTCAGCATTTTATTTGAATAAATTGTATTTGTACACGTTTAATAAACAGCTTGGCACACACCTCAGGAAAAGGAGGGATCGAGAAAGTTTAAACACTACGTGGGACTACAGATAAAACTGTACATCTTGCGTGAATTTGGGAGAAATCGGTGTACGCCTTCACATGAAAAACGTTGCGTGCAAAAACAATACGACAAGGGCCAAGAAATCACAACTCACCAAGAGCCCTTGAAGTTCACCCTTCCTCGCGCCTGTTATGAGCTTTTCTCCCCTCTCGTCTCTCTTCTCCGACATCCTGATACATCAACACGTAGTTTATGTCAAGTTTTTTCCCTCAAATCACAAAAAATCTTCATTTTAATTCGATTTTTGTCCGTTTTTTGAGCGCCCTGTATAATATAGCCTTCGCATTCGAGCCTGCCAAGTAGGCATATCCGGAGAAGACCGCGGCCACTTTTCTCCCCACCCCCCTGACATTTCCAAAAACACTTTACGGAAATCTTTTGCTGCACGTAAAATTCAGGGGGGAGCGAGATAATTACAAGGCTATTCCAAAATGGCGCATAATATTGCAGCAAGAAGAGTCTGTATTCTTAGAAATTCTTTGGTTTTTCTCCGTCCACAAGTCAGAGCAATGACCAGTGAATACGGCAGTGGAGAAGGAAAGGTCTGTAGTGTAAACACAGTACAAAAAATGCCGTTGAACTTCTGTACAGAACATTTTTTTGAGCTAAATTTGCCCGGTGATTTTGCAATTTTGCTTGCATATATTTATACTCTGTATTAAATAAGACTCGGGGTCCAAAAGATGCTATAAAATACCGAAGCATACAGTTAAATGCAACCGAAAACACGCATCAAATGATTGCATGATTCGGGAACAGTATTAATAAACTACACACAGTAAAGCTCGCACTCGCAGTATAAAAGTATCCAAATATCCAATATTTAAGACCATATCTGTAAAATAATCTTGTTTTCTTTCTTTTTACTATTAGGGCGGTGGTGCTGGCGGTTCTGTAAGGTTTGTTGTGTTTATTTGTTGAATAAACTGTTGGATTTTGCCAAAATGTTACTCTGATAATCTGACTGAATATTAATGTTCTCCCCGACATTCATTTGTGACTATGTGTTTTGTCTAGGTCTGCTGGTGGTGCGTTTGGTAAAATGGAAGCAGCGAGGGAGGAAGAATATTTCCGTAAATTGGTAAGGTTATCAGTCCTGATCAGAAACTCCCCCCACCCATCCCCCTCCACACCCACCCGACACACACCAATGGACACCCCACCTGTGAGACAACAGACTAACCCTAGGCACTTGTATTTTGTAGCAACAAGAACAGTTACAAGCGTTGCGCGACCATCACAGAGAGTCTGTCAAAAGTCATGAAGACGAAATACAGATGCATCAAGAAAGCATCAAGAAACACGAAGATGCAATTAAACGTTCAAAGAAGATGAAAAATAAAATCATCGAAACTATGCGAGAAGTTGAAGACAAGAAAGATTAATTAGTAGACGTTTTTGTTGGGTTGAAATATTGCTTGAATGCCAAGAGATGTGTCGAGGATTGAACTGACTTTGTCAGCGTTGTTTATGAACTATATTTTGCTCTACCATTTGTCTGTAAATCTTTGACAATAAAGCATCTTCATTAAACAGAGATTGATTTCAGCTAATGTTAAGTTTGTACATGGCCCACAGAAATTAGGTTTTGACACAGTTCTGGGATAATGAATCTTTTTCAGGTAGTTCAGACACAAACCACGGCAGCCTATTGTGGAATATCACCTACACAGCTGGACTAGCTCATGTTGCAGAATTGTACACTGAGACTATACTTTATAGTTTCATGCAGTCGTTTTAAGACTAATTTCCTCATTGGTGTCACAATTTACTGTTATAAGCCACAGTAACTTTTGACGCAGGGGGTCTTTTGAGAAACGTTGAAATATAATTGCTTGCTTCAATGACTTGCTCCAAGTTGACATCCTAGAATAAAAGAACAAGCTTAACCCATTGAGTTGTATTGTGCCCCAATGTGCCCTACTTCATTAACTTACTCTGTCTAATGCCAGACGATTTTACTGATCAAGAAGAGAGTGCTGGTACTCAATGGATTAATCAGACTATCTGCCCAATTATGACTAGTGAAACCTTCAATCTTGCAATGAAGTTGTATGATTATGATTTTGCCTCTGCTACATGTGAGAAGAGTCTTCCAGTTTGACTTTCCAAATACTGCAGATTTTCTTTGGGTATTCCAGTTTGGAACTGTCCATTTAGAGCTTTAACTCTACAAACCTAGATGTAGGCTATGTCTCAGATGAATCGGATGATTTTAGTGCTGCGACTCAGTGGGTTATATTTAAAATGTATAGAATGAAAACACTGCTGTGTCTTACAGTTTCAATGCCCATCCCATGTAACATATAGATCACATCTTCGGTTGCAACATTTCCTGAAGCGCCTTTTGCATAAGGACAACCACCAAGGCCGCTTGTTGACGAATCAACTGTCGCTATACCAAACTAAAATTATTAAAAACAAAGTTGTGAAATACAGGTCCTTGTTCATTTAATAATATGTCATCTCATTAACAAGATGGTGAAATTAAGCTAGCTTGCCTTCAGTCCAGTCAAAATATTGGATAAAGCTTGGCCGTACGTATCATGACAATGTAATGCCAGCCGAGATGCTGGTACCACTTTTGTGACATCCTCTAACATTTTTTCCATCGATCCTAAATGAATCAATCATGACTAAAAGATTTGATATTTACCACATTAATCTTGTTAATCAATCAATGCAGGCTCACATTAAAAAGGAGCATTTACATTGTTGCCTAACAAAGATGCTCACCTTGTTAACTAATCAGATGTTCACCTTGTTAAGTACATAACAATGTGTGTTTACCTTATTATCTAACAAAGAATGCTGGTCTCCTCAACTACCGTAATGAGTCTACGTCATGTTCACCTTGTTAAGTGACAAGGCATGTCCACCTCGTTAACTACCAATGTTGTGCATTCACCTCGTTAACTAACCTCGTTAACTACTAATTAATGAAGTGTGTTCACCTTGATAACTAAGTTGACTAACCTGGCGTTCCAACACCAATTGTGTCTCCAAGCGACACTTCATAACACCCCATATCCACAAGGGACTTCGTTAGCTAAAAGTATCCCAAATTAATTGCAGATAATTAGTATAATTGGTGTTTTCTTCAATGGCCAATTAACCTGAGAAATTACAATACCCTTGTTACAGCTTCTGGTTTGATTTCGCCCTCATAAGGACAACCAACAACACACGAAACATACCTAATTAAGATCAAATTTATAGAGTGGAATTAATATAAAAATTGTACTGAATTAATTACTTGGTTTTAAAATTAAAATTTGATCTTCTAATTAAAATTCTTCTAATGCAAATGTTCTTATCAGTACCCTCGTACTCTGACCATCTTCTTCAATGCTGCTTCACAAACTTTCTCAAAGCGTTTCAAACTTTCTTCTATTGAGCAATTCAAATTTGTTCTAAAATAGGTATCAATAAATTGTCTATTCAGATATTGTCCACAGCGGGTTTGGCTTTAAGATGACAACTATACCTGCTAAAGGTTTCTGAAGCAGCTCCAAAAATTGCTACAACTTCCGCACCAGATTCTACCTAGGCATTAAAATCAAAGAGCCAAGTCTTTCACATCTTTTACATATTCCAGTATTCTGCTTATATCACTGGACATCAGTGTCTGAATATTTGAGTACTTACAGCAGCATCAAATCCTTGAATGTTGGGGGTCAAAACTGGATAGGACACCAGTGGATTCTTATGGATTCCTTGCATGACTTCTCTATGGTCCATCATCTAGAAAAGCATTAATCAGCATTTTGCAGCAAACCTCATTAGTAACTGACAAGCCTCGTTAATAACTAACGATGCACTACGAAGGTATCTAACCTGTGGCACCCATTTTGGTGAGACGAAACTCGTCACTTCAACCACAGGAAGTCCCGACTGTGACAGCATGTCAATAAACCTGATTTTGGATTCGGTTGGAATAAATGCCTACAAGAAGTCATGTCCTAGTTCATCTAATGTGCCATATTAACCACATACACAAATCATTTGTCAAGATAAACTATGTGCATTCTTATAATTACTTAAATTTTCCAAGAGGGTAGCTGGAGATATTTTTTAAAAATGGCAAAAATTTATAGGTGTTTTAGTGATGTCCAGGAGGGGAAAAGCGACATCCTAAAGGGGTTAATAAGATATCCTCTGAGGTAACTTCCATAAATTGCATCCAAGGGGGTTTCAAATTTTTTATATGGGATTACTAAGGGGATTACATGAAGGGACCCCTCAATAGGGGAGGGGGTGCCTATACTAAATGGAATGGCCCAATAATCGCCCAACCCCTCTAATGACTATAAACATAATTAATTAGTCATTAATAGAATTTCTAGGTAATCAGTATACAACCTTTTCGTTTTGCAAGCCATCTCGAGGGCCAACCTCAACGACTTTAACATAACTGGGATAAGAAGAACAATTTGATAAAGCTGTCGTGAAATTTCGTAACTTTTGCTGCGTACAAATCATCTATACGAAACATATTTAAAAATACAAAATATATAAAATGTACGCATTAAATTTATCATTTCAGTTTAAATTTTGTCTATTTTTATACTTGCCTTGAAATTACTAAAACGTTCACATCTTAGAAAAAATTTCTGTAGTATTCTTCCAGTGATCATGATAAAGTATATCGAGCTATTTTCTTTTGTTTATCAAAACAAAAAATTCCACCATCTTGCCTTTTAAATTTATTGTCCTCCCCAGTCCCTGACAAATAAACGTTCTATTTAGTCCAGTGCTAAATCAGAGATCAGTTGGCTGAGATACGCAATTTATTCAACAAACACCACAAAATTTCAATTGTCCGGGTATGCGCACTTTTGTATTAACACTGGATCAATAAGGGATGGATCTCTACTCTCTAGGAAGCGCAGTTTAGAACTGATAGAGCTATCCAGTTTAGTTTGTAAATATTAATAAAAATAATATTTTAAACATATTCAATACTATATATTTTTAATCTCTATTTTCCATATATTGCATTATCGAGCTATATCAAGCGTATTTTATATTACAAAAATTTGATGTGTCAAATATTTTTACTACGGTAAAAATGACATAAAAGCGTTTAATACAAAGGCTGTTTACATAACGGCCGCCTTGTTCGCGCGAGCAAAAATGACCAATTCAATTTTCTTAGCGTGCCCGCGCGAGCGATCAGGTCATTCGAATAGGACCCTCGCCCCAAAATGTTTCTGCATTTGGAAAATGGGAAACATATTTTTGCTCGTAATAAATGAATTTTATTAATTCAGCAACCACGATTCCCCAACATTGTTTCCAAGTTTGCCCGAACTTAAAGCTCCAATGTACACGGCAACAGGTCTGCTATGCTGCTAAACATGCATCTGAATTTAAAGACAATACATTTCTAAAAGTTTGAATAATGCCAGTCATTAAACATTTGCAGAGCATGACCTGTTGCCACGGACTGAATTTCCCACTGACTTTTGTGAAGACTCCATGTGAAACAGACTTGTTTTAAGTCTGCTTTTCAAATTGAAATATCGGCCCTACTCCTGTGTACCTTCAACACCTTTCTCGTCCTGTAATGTACCTTCCTGTATTGTCTTACCCTCGTTATCCTGCTCAAACCCTATCTGTCCCTCAGCCTCTCCTATCTTCTCATGATTAACTTCGTGTCCAGGGCTTTCTTCAGAGTGCGCTATATTTACATCAACCTCATTCCCAGGACTTTCTTCAGAGTGCGCGATATCGACTATACCATTTTCAATAACATCACTGGGGTCTCCTGTGGTACGGACTTCTTCATTTGGTTCCTTAATATCCTCACGTGTACCTATATCATTCATATTCTCTATCCCACTTTGTCCCTCAGGACAATCTGCAGTTTCGCCATCTAGGTTTTTATTCGAGTCCTGGTTTCCCCCATCCAGTTTATTTGGGTCCAGTTTTTCGTCAGTACTGTGTGCAGTATTTTCAGCTATTTCTTCCCCCGGGCTGTTCTCCCCCTCACCCCCATTACTCTCCCCACTTTCCTCTTCCTCATCGTTATCGTCCGCGTCATCATCATCGTCCTCGTCGGATCCTAAATCCTCGCCCAATTCTTTTAAACGTTCCTGTAAAGGCAAAGGGGGCAGAAATAATGACCATGTCAAACCATTTGAAGTATATTCCATGTTTTCCAGGTAGCTTACTTTTTGCAGAGTTTTTTTCAGGATTTTCTCTTGGGTCCGTTTTTGCAGAGAAGATTGAGTTTAGCCAACTGGGGTGGCTGCACCCCCAACCGGAGGGGGGGGGGGGGGCTGACACCTGTACTCAATAAATGTAGTTGAGACGCAATGTGTTAAAGCTGGGGCACTATAAACTGGTTAAAGATGGCGAAGGCATAGTTTTTCTTGTGTTGTGAGATGAATTCCAGCCATTTTTCTTGATTGTCGGGTTTCCAACTGAAAACTAATTTCCACACAACACGAATTTAACTCAAACAACTTCATTTTTACTGCACTGGAACTTTAGTAAGAAGATTGAGTTTCAAAACTCAATTCAAGATTGGGTTTGTGGGGCCGTTTGACGGCCCTAAAAAATCCCTGAAAAAAACCCTGTTTTTGGTATGTGTGTGAACTACCTGCGAAAACCTTACCTTATATTTCGCACACTTGGCATCCTGGTCGCTCAATAAAACCAACAGATCGTCTTGTTCTCTTGCAATACCTTCCTTCTCTTCTCGAATTTCTTGAATATTCTTCAGTAACTCATCCACTTTTCTTTCAAGACTTTTCACTACAATATCCGAGTCACCACCGTGTGTCTGAAACATAAATACATGCTGGAGTATAAAGTACTATCCAGTAGAAATAAAGTTGCTTAGTTTAGACGATCCTTACTGGACCTCTATATCTAGGAAGAACAGTTTAGAACTGATAGAGCTATCCAGTATAAATAAAGTTAGTTTAGATTAGGTTTTCTCCTGTAGCAACACTTGATCAATAAGAGATGACTCTTACTGGACCTCTAGGAAGAACAGTTCAGAATTGATAGGGCTATCAAGTATAAATAAAGTTAGTTTAGTTTAGGTTTCCTCCTGTAGTAACACTGGATCAATAAGAGATGATCCTTACTGGACCTCTAGGAAGAACAGTATAGAACTGATAGAGCTATACAGTAGAAATAAAGTTAGTTTAGATTAGGTTTCCTCCTGTAGTGACACTGGATCAATAAGAGATAATCCTTACTGGACCTCTAGGAAGAACAGTTTAGAACTGATAGAACTATCCAGTATAAATAAAGTTAGTTTAGATTAGGTTTCCTCCTGTAGTGACACTGGATCAATAAGAGATAATCCTTACTGGACCTCTAGGAAGAACAGTTTAGAACTGATAGAGCTATCCAGTATAAATATAGTTTAGTTTAGGTTTCCTCCTGTAGTGACACTGGATCAATAAGAGATGACTCTTACTGGACCTCTAGGGAGAACAGTTTAGAACTGCTAGAGCATTGCAAGATAAAGCTATCTTAATTCTAACCTGTGTCGTTAGCTCGGCACGAAGCGACGAGTTCTGAGCACGTAAAGACTGTACTTCTTCTTGTAAGGAACTAAGCGCCATTTTAGATTGTTGCAGTTCATTCATCTCCAAGTTCGTCATGTCTTCGGAAAATGATTTTCCTCCACTTGAGTCTTGTTCTGATAAGATTGATGCAGCGTTGGCAACTGCTAAAGAAGCCTGGGACACCTCCAGCTCGCGTTCCTTGAGAAAACGAAACACAATTATTGGGTTATATATTACGACAACGTAGGTGAGTTATGTGCTTGATTTACACAGGGGCCATTCACAAAGGATGTCCGAGCCGAGGGGGGGAGGGGGGGAGGGGGGTTTGGAAAATCAGGACAAACTCAGACATAGGGGGGGGAGGGTTTTTTTTAGCAATACAGATGTCCGAAATTTTAAAAAAATTCAAAAACAAATTTCTTTTTCCTCTCTTTTGAACTCTCCTTCCCATTGTGAAATTGGCATTTTGACTATGCGGTTAATACTAGATTTTGTTTTAATTAGTAATTTATATGTTTTTGTATTCACATTTATAGTTATAAAAAAGTTCTAAAAGTAAAAAAGTTTTTTACTCTTGACATATACAAGGTTGCGTGAGTTTTTGCGAGGCATGGCGGATGTCCGGGGGGAGGGGGGGGTCACTAATTCGGACAATGTCGGAAAAGGGGGAAGGGGGGGGGGGTTCCGAAAATCCATCATTTAGCCGGACATCCTTTGTGAATGGCCCCACAGTTTCAGGCAAAAGTTGTGCAGGATAAGTCGGCCTTACAAGTGTTACATAAACAGATGGTGAACGTCAGAAATGTCGGCACTTACACAGTAAGAAAATGAAACTACATTTTTCAATTCTATTTATTTGCCTCCAAATACAAGACTACTACATATAATGAAAAGAATGAACATTATTTTCTCACTAGTCTGGTTGACCATCATCTGCTGTACGATAGTGCTTTGTGAAACACAGCTACACATTCCCTGTAGGTAGGTATGGTGATGAATGTAATTATTTTGTATTGTGGAAACACTATGTAAGTCCCGATCTTCATCAGTAGAAAAACTAAAACCTAAATTTCATATAATGCATTTAATTCAAATTGATGTTTATTATGCGATTACTTGACAAATTTAATCATTATTACATTATACATATTTACACAAAAAATATTCTGTTAGTATCATTTAAAAGACTTTGAATGTTGAAAGCCGCCATCTAAAAATGGAAGGTTTAATACGCTCCATCTTGCATCAACATTCAAATATCAATCACATGACATTGGTCAGAAAACACTTGCAGCGTGGCATTTGTGCAGGCTTTGCTAGCCCGAGTATCAGGCCTGTTTTGCCTTCCTTAAATGCGGGTGTATGAGGCCTTACAGAGTGAACTCCTTGCTATCTACAGCAACTGAAAACCGAAAACATGTGAAGCTTGTTCTATCTGTTGCCGATGGTCGCGAAAACCACCAATAAAATTTACAAGATGCAACGTTTTCAATTTGCAATTTTCATGTGCCAGCGCTTCACACAGATCACTAACGTCTCCCATGTGAGACCAAGAAACACTCAAAACAGTGAGCTTGCAGTTTTTATGTTTCAAGGCATCCCATATATGTTTATAACTTTCAGATGCAATGTCAGGATACCAACTTAGATCTAAAAATGTAAGCTTACAGTTTGCGTGCTTTAGCGCTTCACACAACATCCGAAGACTCTCTTCTGTTATGCTACAAGTGACACTCAAATGATATAGCGAAGACCGTCCTCCTGTCAAGACACGACACAGTGCTGTAATGCCATCCTCTGTTATGCTGTTACCACTGACATTCAAATGGTATAGCGAAGACCCTGCTCCTGTCAAAACACTACACAGCGCTGTAATACCAGCATCTGTTATCAAATTATTGTAAATATATAATTCACAAAGGTGGTTCTCTCTAAGTAGGTGGCAAAGCTCAAGCACTCCATGATCAGAGATTTGATTCTGTGCTAAATTAAGTTTCCTCAGATTCTGCACATGAATCAAAAGTTGAAACAAGCCTCTGCAGTCCATCGGTGCTATATTTGATTTCCACAAATAGAAGACGCGGTTCCCATCACCATCAAGCTTCTGGGCTGCATTCCTGCTGATCTCATCGTCCTGAATTTCATGGACACATTTCACAGCGAGCAAAGCTATATTCTTTGCCGTTTTTTCCGATGCTTTCAACGGAATAACCAATTTCACAAACCTGAACAAAGACAAGAATGCGTGATTGTAGAGCTACATAGCCACCGATATACTTTTATTTACAACATTTTAACGTTTCAGTGTAATAATTAAGATCACTTAGAAGTTAGTACATGCACCTTTCGTCTCTGCAGCGTCAGTAACTTGTACATGCCTGATTATAATTTCACCTCGGCCACATGTGAGAAAAGTGCTTCCAGTTTGACTCTATTTAACACCACAGGTTTCCTCCTGGTATTCCAGTTTCCTCCTGTAGTAACACTGGATCAATAAGAGATGATCCTTACTGGACCTCTAGGAAGAACAGTTTAGAAGTGATAGAGCTATCCAGTATAAATAAAGTTAGTTTAGTTTAGGTTTCCTCCTGTAGTAACACTGGATCAATAAGAGATGATCCTTACTGGACCTCTAGGAAGAACAGTTTAGAAGTGATAGAGCTATCCAGTATACATAAAGTTAGTTTAGTTTAGGTTTCCTCCTGTAGTAACACTGGATCAATAAGAGATGATCCTTACTAGATCTCTAGGGAGAACAGTTAGAAATGATAAAGTTATCCAGTATAAATAAAGTTAGTTTAGTTTAGGTTTCCTCCTGTAGTAACACTGGAGCAATAAGAGATGACTCTTACTGGATCTCCAGGGAGAACAGTTTATAACAGAGCTATCCAATATAAAGTTAGTTTAGTATGTTTTAAACCTACCCATCATACACAATCTTAACTAATTCATCTTTCTTCTTTCTTGACATCTCATCCATTTCCAATTTTTCCCCTTGCAATAATCGGATTTCATTTCCGATCAAACCAGCGAGGAATTGTATAACCAGGTGCCACCTAGCAACCTTGATATTGCTGGATAAGAAGTCCGCCATATCAGTGTCAACATCATGAAATATATGTACTGCAGCGAGGTACTCTTGTATTGTAAGATGTGGAAATGAATAGAGATTATAGTTTGTATCCTCTTTCTTTACCAATAAACCACAATCTTCAAGATTCGAAGAATCTTTATCAAGTTTAAACACCAAATTCCATTTGTCATCAAGCGCTGACTTAGCAATCTTTGCCAGTCGACTAAGATCATTCTTCAGTTGGTCTGGCAATTCTGTCTCAGGCAAAATATATCCTTTCTCTTTTCGTTTTCCCTTAAACAATTTATGATGTTTGTACAGCATAGTTGTTATGTATCGTCTGTATATCTCTGTTATAGTTAGCGCCACACTTCCTTGCTTTTGAAACGGAATACTTTCCTTCAAAGTTGAACAGACTATTTCACAACTAACCGGAATATAACAAATGCTCAATAACTCTGCAGACTGTTTTATTATACCCCATATCTCTTGGCTCATATTGCGATATTGTGGACACTTCATAACGTAATCTTCAATCTCTGCTTCAGTGAAGCCCAAAATTTCCAGTTTCTTGTCAAAATTTAAATCTCGGTAGACTTCTTCGGCCGTTCGTCGTGTGGTTGTGACGATGGTGACTTCTGGGAAGAAATTGCGTCGTATTAACTTGACATAAAGTGAAAATATAGACATGTTCAGTTCAGTCTCATTGTGCGTGTCTTCCTCTTCTTGCCAACAACGTTCGAGGTTAACATCCAGTTCATCCAAGCCATCAAAAACTAGAATGACTTTCTTTTGATTCAACTTTATAAACTGATACAAATCTTGCAACCTTTCACCGCTTGCTTCATCGCCGTACGATAACAGGGTTGAAAGATTTAGTTCTTGATTTTTGTCATGATTAAACGTACGAAATGCAAAACGTATCACTAGTTTTCCTTTCCAGAAATCGACCGTTTTACTTTTCCATTTTTGGAGAATCCTTTTTGTGAGCGCAGTCTTTCCAATACCAGGTCTTCCGACAATCAGAATTCGTCGCGGGGTTTCAGTACTATGGTTTTTGATTGGTTTAAAAATATCTTCGATGTTGTTAATTTGGTCATTCAACTGTTTGTCCCGAGGTACATCGTAGATTTCGTGCCTTTGTTGACCATCGTCGTCGCTTCTATTCTCCTGAATCATAAGTTTTATAAAGAAATTAGTGTCCTCTCTTTGTGAATCCCTTATTTTGTGGATAATGCTACCAATAGTTTCCCGTCGTTGTAAAATATAAACCGAACAAAATTCCATATCTTCAATAACACCAAATTCCTCGTTTCTACGTTTCCAACGGAAGATATAAACCACTTCGGCGAGAGCAAACAGACCAAAAACCACATCGATAATGGCCACCGCTTTCGCTAAAGTCGTCTTTTTTGCTGCCATGATGTTCACGCAAGGAATGTGGTTCTGAGGATGGCGCCAGGGACATGAAAAGTCTGTAGGAAAGTTGATGGGATAAAAAATAACTGCAGCAAACAGTAACAAGAGAACGAAACGTGTGAGAAGCAGATGGGACGTATAAATATGGAACAACGAAATATCTTTATTGTTCTCAGTTTCATCATTTTCTCGTACTACTGTTCCATCCCATTTCTCAACTATGGGTTTTGCCCAAGCTGCATAGAAGACGGAAAATGCCAAGATCAGAGCAAAATTGAAAAGAACAAGCACGCCAAATGATATCCTCCAGTGATATATTGCTTCATACTTAGAGAAACACGTCAATTGCACAAAATCATGACTCGAAGTGATTTCTTTTGATGGACTACAACGAAGGTTGGTCTTCGCGTCATAATCGTTCGCAATTGGAATGATAGTTAAGCCACAAAGGAAGAACAGTAGCAACACGACATGTCCGAAATTGTTATAACTCGTCCGTGGTATAGCTTCAAAAAACTTTGGTAACATTTTGTGAGACGCAGATTATATCGGATATCCATGCCGCCATTTATCAACGCATTGACGAACAACAACACTCGACAACAAGGTTACATTTTATAAAAAAATATAAGACATTATACGATCGTTTTCGTAGTTAGCAAAGCCAAATAGGTTAATAAAGTAAATTCAGTAATCAGTGAAAAATACGCGATGAATTCAAGACCTGTTTAAGATAATCTAACACCTGTTAGTTGCTGTCACCTTTGAAGAAAAAATAGTTAAGTAAGAGATTCGTCCTGAATTTGCTCGAGTGCACATGTCAATGACGTAACCATCACTTAAAAGGCGTTTTCCACTAGGCTCTTTGTCTTTTCTAATTAGCCATTCCGAAGTTGACGAGTGGACTGGGGACGAGTGTTAAAAAGTGCCCAAATTAAGCACCCGTTTCGCTACTTCTAAATGGGTACTTACCCAATATTCTAAATTTTAGAATGCGGGTAATACCCATGCTAGGTATATACCTGAGGCTACTTCAACTGAAGACAAAACCACAAGCATTGGGCAAAAGTTTTACTTATAAATATAAGTAACCAGCACTGGTGGTTGGTGGCGTGGGTTGGGAAAACCACTTTAGTAGTTAGGGGTTAGGGGTTAGAGGTTAGGGGTCAGAGGTTAGGGTTTGGGTTGGGGGTAGGATTGCTCAGGTATGTACCTAGCACGGGTACTACCCGCATTCTAAAATTTAGAATACTGGGTAAGTACCCATTTAGAAGTAGCGAGACGGTTGAATTAAGAAATGAACCAAATCACTAAAAAGACCACCTCGAAATTAGTAAGTATACAAAGTTTGAAGACGTTTACATGAATACCCTTCGAATAATAAGCTATCGAAAATCGCGATGGACTGTAATTTTTGTTTTTTGGGGACGCGCGTCCCAAATACAATCTTTTAATCGGTAATTTCACAATTTCCGAAAGCTTATTATTCGAATGGTATTCATGTAAACGTCTTCAAACTTTGTATACTTACTAATTTTGAGGTGGTCTTTTTAGTGATTTGGTTCATTTCTTAATTTGGGCACTTTTTAACACTCGTCCCCAGTCCTCTCATCAACTTCGGAATGGCTAATTAGTTCCACCCGAGAAATCACAAGACAAAGAAAAATTCCGCTCCGCGCGGAAAATTCCGCCTAGTGGAAAACAGCATTAAGCCTGGTTGACACCAATCTCGTACCCAGAGCAATGCCTGTGCGCGGGCTAGGATGGCATTGGCTCTGGGGAAATTGAATTTTTTCTGTGCTGTGATTGGTTTAACGTTTGTCAATCGTGCATGCCGACAAAGAACCGGAACCCCTAAATTTAGGGGTTCCGGTTGTCAATTTCCCCAGAGCCAATGCCATCCTAGCCCGCGCACAGGCATTGCTCTGGGCACGAGATTGGCCGGTTTACACTATCAAAGTTTCTGTGATCACAGTAGGAATTTTTCATTTGTAAATTCTAAGTTTTGAAGGATTTGTAAGAAACGTTTGAAGGAGCCGACTCGGTGTTAAACACCATGTGAAAATACACCAATTCACAAATCTTACCAAATGTTTAATTCTGTCTTCTTTGTCGTGAATTTCTTGTCGACAGTTATTTAAATTATGTTCAAGATTTGCCACTGAATGACGTAATGATTCCAAATCTTCGTTTGTGTTTCCACCCTGAGACGCAGAACTTTCCTCGTGATCTGGGAAAATGAAACATCTATTACAATTTCACAGAATCACTACATCATCATTCGTATTAAATTTTCAAATTTTGAATCGGAAGTTACATAATATAGTGATTCACTTACGGAATCTGTTGTTGAGTTGATCTTTCAGTTTTTGTATTTCTAAAGCTTGTTGCTGCAGATGTATTTGAGACTAATAAAAATGGAAAATAACGTAATTATTTAGTTGATACAAAAGTTGAAAATATTGAATGAAACCGTCTTTGAGGAGCTTGAATATACCTGAGTATAACTAGTTTCCAGTTCCCCATATCTTCCTCGGATTTTCCCCAGTTCCTCATCCTAAAATAATATTAAGACGAAATTGAGAGTTTGTGGGACAATGCAGGTTGACCAAGCAAGAATGTTAGTCTGTGATTTAAAAATATATTTACCTGATCTTTAATCAGCTCCTTGTACGAGGCAATTACAGAGTCCTGGTTCTGAGCGCTCGCCACGGGACTGGACGCTAGTTGCGAAGTCTCGTTCCCAGGACCTCCTTCCATCGCTCCACTCACAGCAGCTAGAATGAATTAAAAAGTTATCATGGTTGAAGGCACAGTAGGGAGATGTCATCTCTCCTTGAAGTAGAGACATATTTCCATCATAGCTAATACATATCATTCTAGCAAGTGTTGTATTGTAATAAGGCCCATATTTCCACTCAGGAAAATTTTCCGCAGAAAGAAAATTTCTAAAATGTGATTGGCCGATACAAATTTTCCGTCGGAAAAATAATTTTGAAGTTGAAAATTTTCAACTTTTAACATTGATATTTTCGAAAAATTTTTTGTTCCTTGAAAAATTTTCTCGAGTGGAAATGAACCTATACACACTGAATTTCAATACCTTCTAATTTTTTAAAAAGTTTGGTAAATTCATGGTCGAAGAAAACACCTTCAGCGGAGCTTGTTTGAATCTAAAAAGACGAAAGATCATTCATAAACAAAATGAAAGTCCTTCTGAACAAAATCTCTCCACTGGTGGCCGCATGGGCGGATTTACTGGCGGGGTTAGGGGGTTAACCTCCCCCCGTCCCTAGAATCTCTCTAACCCCTCTAATAAAGTGTTCAACCCAACCAAAATTTCGCTTCACCCCTCCTATTTTGTGTAAAAAGCTTTAATCCAAAGGCCTAACCCCTGCCGAAGCTCACTGAGTGGCGCTGCTTGCACCCCACCAGACCAGCTGCTTGCACCCCACCTACTCCTTCTTTTAAATAAATGAAAATCCGCCCTTGGGTGGCCGCCATCTTGGCTTCATGACTGAAGTTCTTGCTCCAGATATATGTATATAGTTCAGCGGTGGAAACCATAGATATCTTATATACACTAGATAGTGCATCTAATTATTCTGCAATTCAAAAATTGAAGCCGTCATTGCAGTCTCATGAAATGAGAAGACTCGTATGTTTTCTATTTCTTAAACAGGGAACTTAAACATTAAGTTAAACCTATTCCAAATACATTTTCAAACTATTCGAGTGGGAAACTCCAACATGGCCGCCATCTATTCAAATGGAGGTAACCGCTGGAATATTCTTGGCTTCAATTTTACTAAAAGAGATGCGCTATCTAGTCTATATAAGATATAATTATATGGTTAAAAGCTAGGTACAGTATAATAGAAAGAAGCTTACCTCAGGTGCTTTCGAGGCTTGTGTGTAATATTCAGTTTTATAAATATGCTGAATACGGTCCAGGAAATTATCTGTGCCAATTCTCTTCGTTATCAACTGTTGTATCGTCTCCCTGAAATAGACAGAAGAGTAAGCTTTCAGGCTAAGGGCAGAGCCGCACAGGGCCAGAGGCAAAAGATCCAGGCCTTTCTCGCAACGGTTCCCGGTCAGTTCTACAATACGTCACTTGAAATTTCCGTCCCCTGGAACTGCAATAGCGAGGTCCCAAGCATGCCAAGATGTTTATATGAACATTCATATTATAGTTTTCAGCTAACTGTCCTCATAATTCTTACCATGATTGTAGCATGTTGCGCAAAGTCTAGGCTATATGCTTGCTAATTTTTTGGTAGTACTGACTTCGATAGGTGGGTCACAGGGGCGGATCTAGGACTTTTCGTACGTTAGTCAAAAATTTCGTTGCTGAACATCGAAGGGGGGGGGGGG